CTTTGTGGAGATGAAGTCTTGAATTCCCAGGCTCAAGCAATCCTCCCGCCTTGGCCTCCCAAAGCACTGGGATTATAGGCATGAGCCACTGAGCCTGGCCACCTCTTATTTAAACTTCAGGCTCATGCGCCCAGCTGCCTGCTCCCTACATCCACCTGGATATGAGTAGACACCTCAAATTCTACATGTTCAACACATTGCTGCTTTTCCCTCTCAAACCTGCAACACCTACAACCTCCTCTGTTAACTGCCAGCCGTGCCATGATCCCAGTTGCTCAGATCAAATCCCGGGTGTCACCTTGATTCCTCCATTTCACCCCTCATATTCCTCTTCAATCAATCAGATAATTCTGTTAACTTCCTTCCAAATATCACAAGAACCAGACCACCTCACACCACATCCACATCCACTGCTTTCATCCTAGTCTGAACCTCCATATCTCTTGCTTGGATGATCAATCACACTGGTTTTTTTTTTTTTATTTTGAGTCAGAGTCTCACTCTGTTGCCCAGGCTGGAGTGCAGTAGTACAATCCCAGCCACTGCTGCCTTGATCTGCTGGGCTTAGGTAGTCCTGCCTCAGCCTTCCAAGTAGCTGGAACTACAGGTGCACGCCACCACACCCAACTAATTGTTTTTATTTATTGTAGAGATGAGGTCTCACCATGTTGCCCTGGGCTCAGGCAATCCTCTCATGTCTGCCTCCCAAAATGCTGGAATTACAGCACACTGGCCTTTTAACTGGTCAGTTCCCACCAGAAGTGAGTGGTTTTTCTTTTGAAACATAAGTCAGATTATCATTCCTCTGCTCCAAATCCTCCTGTGCCTTCCCATTTCCAAGGTCCCTCCCCTTCTGACTTCATTTGCTACCACCATATCCGCCTTGACCCTGCTCCAGCCTTCTGAGCTTCCCTGTGTTCTCTAAAACATGCCAAAGTGCTTCTGCCTCAGGCCTTGGAGATGCCCTTCGCCAAGAGTGCTTTTCCCCCAGATACCCATCTGGCTCCTCCCAACCTCTTCAAGAACTTGGCTGGAATCTCAGTGAGGCCTTTTCCACCACCAGCTTCCATGCTGCGTCTCCTCCCACCCGGCACTCCCTTCCCCTGCTGTATTTTTTTCCCCTGCCTCTACCACCGTCTCGATTTCACACTCTCTGATTTACTTATTTTGCCCCATCTGTCTCTCACAGCAGAAGGTAAACTCCACATGGACAGGGATTGTTGGTTTCATTCACTATGTCTCCCCAGCACATAGGACAGGCCTGACAATAAATGTTTGTTAAATGAGTGAATGATTATCCCTGCCCCATGAGAGCTCTTCAGCAGTCCAAAATACGCACGGGAGTGTCTTTTGCTTCTGGATCTTGCTGGACAGGCACCCACACCGTACATCCACTTTCCAGTTAACCCCGGGCCACCGTAGCTCCAGCCTCACCACAGGTGCTCAGTGGAAGGGTGGGGGTGGGGAGCAAAAGGAAGGGTTCTGCCTTCCTCTACAGTAGGAGTTACATGTGGGGTGCTGAGTGTGGTTTTGGTTATTCAGATGACCTCTTTTATTACTTCAGTGGTCTGCAGGGGGAAATCATCCCTTCAGAAACATTTGCCAGTCATCCCTCCTGTGACAGGCATGTGATTCTTTGTGCTCAAAGATTTGGTCTGTGGGAAGGCAAAGGCGGTGGTGGAGGAGGAGGTAGAAAAGGAAGAAATGGGAGGAGAAAGTCCCAGAACCAAGTACAGGACTCTATTCTATGGCCCGGAGCTCTCAGATGCCGAGATAGAGCATACCGCTCCTTGGGCCAGTGTCTAATAAAATCATCCCAGAGAAGAAAATGCTGAGGAATGATATTCAGTGAGTTCTTGCTGGCACTGTGCCTGTACCAGGGGTGTCCCTGTAAGCTGGGTCTGTGGACCCAAAAAACTCATCCTTCACACTATTGGGTGTAATTTTAAGTGTATTCTGTATTATTGACCATAAACCACAGAGACATCATTTCTATGTATTGACTTGAAAAACCGAGGCTCTACTTACTGTACATTCAATCCTGATTTTAAGCTTCAGGAAGAGCAAAAAGAAACGCAGTGTTTCGTGGAATAAGTGTCCTCCAGTGCACACCTCAAGCTATTTCAAGCATGTGTCAACCCGCAGCTATACTAGGGGGAAACTCTGCCCTCACTTTCAATAGAGTTTTAATTAGCAAAAATGTTTAATATCAGAATATGCCTTATTCTCCTTGGAAGCATGTCACAAGCAGCCCCATGGCCTGAATACTAAATAAACATGAGTTAAAATAAAAATGCAGGTAGCATTTTTCTTTTTCTTTTCTTGTTCATCAGAGCTGATTCTCAAAGATGGCACATGAAGCAAACTAAGCCCTGGTTTTCTAACGGTTCTCCAGGGTTGAAACAAAGAAAAAGGGGGTTGAAAAGCAAGGCTTTAACAGAGTGCGAACAGTTAACCTCAGCACGGCCTGCTCCCCAGATGTCTCTGATGGAAGTGTGGACAGAGTTGTTTCCTTCAACTTCCAGGACCCTCAGCAGCTCCGCCAGTTTCTAGTCATCTTCTGGGGGTAGCATGTCATGGAATAGAAATTTACACTTGACATATCAAAAGGCCTGCTAGGGAAAAAAAAAAAAAGGATGCTTTCTGAACAATCTCATGAAGTTCTTCGAAGAAACTAGCCCAAAGATGCTAAATGACTTGCTTGAGTGGTTACAGCTGTAAATGAGACTGGAACCTTGGTCTTTTTTAAGAGATGGGATCTTGCTATTTTGTCCAGGTTGGTCTCAAACTCCTGGGCTCAGGCGATCCTTCCGCCTCAGCCTTCTAAGTAGCTGGAACCATAGGCACATACTACCATGTCCAGCTAATAACTGACTTATTGTAGAGATGAGGCCTCACCAAGTTGCCTAGACTGGTCTCGAACCCCTTCACTCTGGAGGAGTCAACAGGGAATCTGGAGTTGGCGCTGCCCAGGTCTGCAGGCAGTGGGAGCCCCCTCCCAGGGGTTACTTTCTGTTCTCCAGTGGCCAAGCCCTATGCACCCAAGGTTCTTAGGTAGGGCTGGCAGGGGCAAGACGAAACTGCTCACTCACCTGGCTCCTGTCTCCAGCCAGAAAGAACCTGATTTGCCATTTGGGACCAGTGAGGGCAAAAGCCCAAGGTGTCAGCCTGGCTTCCTATCCCACCTCTCTTCTTGATCTTCACCTCTACTTTGGCAGAGACCTACCTGAAAGGTGTAGTTGCCATTTCTTTCCCATGGAAAAGGCTCCTGTGACCACGTAGAAACCACCCTCCAGAAGGCAACCAGCAGATGTTTACATAAGTTGTGATCTTATCTCAAGATGTTCCTATGGGTGACCCAGACTTGACCCCAATCAAAAGTCTGACTCATCATTGTTGTACACAATCATGTTTTATTTAGAAACATGTCAACACTGCGTTGAACACCAACACAGGTGTGACCAAGAAGCCCACAGTCCCTGTCCCAGCAGGCACTGGGTCCAGTGTATGACTTGGGGTGGACTGCAATTTTTCACAGTGAGGGGGGCAAGAAGGAAAGAAGAAATGGGCATGATCCCCAACTCCTGTTCAGGAATCTGAACAACAAAAGTTATTTAAACTCATATAGCTCTTGTTAACTCCCCTTCTCTCAATCGGCAGATGTTCAAATATGAAACCTGGGCTGGTGGGCCAGCTGGATTAAGGGAACACACAGACATGCTGTTTAAAATAACATCCACACGTGACACCAAAAAAAAAAAAAAAAAAAAGGGAGGAATGGACTGTGTTTCCGACTGATAGTTTACTTTTTCCTGTTTTATGAACTTTTTTTTTTAAAGAGGATATCGGAATTGCACAACCATAATCATGACAGAGCATCTGCTCAGTATAAAAACTTTCTGTTTAGGAAAAAGAATTCAATGGATCCATGGGAAGAGAAGTGCTGAGTTGGATGGTGCCATGACACAGTGACCCCTTGGGATCCTTCATTTTTATCTTTTTAATATGTCCCCATAGAAATATATGGTATATCATGATGATCTTTTATTGTTGGGTCAAGTCTTTCAATCCAGTTGCTTTTTGAAAAATTAATACTGTACAAGATGACGTTTGTTCCCCACACCTTTCCTCAGAGGCAGAGTAAATGTTAGAAAACTGGCTATTTCCAGCTGAGTGCGGTGGCTCACGCCTGTAATCCCAGCACTTTGGGAGGTGGAGGAAGAGGACTGCATGAGCTTAGGGGTTCGAGACCAGCCTGAGCAACAGAGCAAGACCTTGTTTCTACAATAAATCATAAAATTAGCCAGTCATGGTGGCATGTGCCTATAGTTCCAGCTACTTGGAAGGCTAAGAGGGAAGGATCACCTGAGCCCAGCAGGTTGAGGTTGCGGTGGCTGTGAGCGTGCTGCTGCACTCCAGCCTGGGCAACAGAGAGAGACCGACTCAAAAAAAAAAAAAAGAAGAAGAAAAGAAAACTGGCTATTTCTCATACCAGGCTCACATAGTTCCTTTCTGCTTGGGGGAACAATACAGTTCTTGGTTTCTGGAACACTTGAGTCTCTAACATTATTAGGCATCCAACAGCTTCTTCGGCATTTGGGATGAGATCTTCATATTCCAGAGCAAAGCAGCCAGTCTGAAGGAATTTGTGTCCTGGGGAAAAGAGAAGGCTGCCTCCTTAGCTCTGGGCTCCCAATCATCTGAGGGAAGTGGAGGGGGCAGGTAGGAGCAGACCTTTGAGTCATCAAGTCATTGCTGGAGGATTTCGGTAATACAAGCCTAGAGGCTGCCTGATGGCCTTGTTGTGAAAAGCAAAGTGTCTTCTCCAAAGGACAGACTTCCTACTTATGATCTAAAATGGATGCCTTTGGAATGATTTATCTGAGCCAGCTAAAGGCAGTTGCACATGACGTTTAGATTTTCTACTTGATTATTCACACCAGAGCAGGCTTTAAAAAATAGACCAAACTAGATTGGAATGTATACATTTCAACAGATCAGCAATTGCAAAATGCCGGTGTCACGTACTGACGTAGCACTGGATCCAAGGACTCCATGGATATAAATATTTTCAGATTCCTTTGCCTCTTAACAATAACAGAGAGTGGTCAGAATGAAGACACATGATTACAGCTTCTAACATCGATTGCCTGGTATTGTCTTACTTACAAATCAGTTTTCATAGTCTTTGCTCCATTTTCTATGCATTTGGTCTTTTAATTTATCTTTTATAAAATTTACATTTAAAACATCTTAATTAAAAGGCAAATGCTTAGAGGAGCCAAGTCTGGTGAACCGTCTTTTCCTTCAGTGACTTTTGGCAAGTGGAGGATCACCATGGATTTTGAGGGGGAGGCGGGCGAACATTCCATGGGTCATCTTCTCCCACAAGATCAGGGATGGGGGAAAGCCAGAAACTCTTTTTAAAGTGTATGGACAGTAGGCACAACCAGCTCTTTAGGGCCTGTGAAAACAAAGGGTGACTGTCATTTCTTTTACTGGCATCACGCATACTAACCCCGTGAGTCACGGTTCCTATTGTCCTTTTTCCAAAGTCTTCCAGTGCTGGCATCTGGTGCTCTCCTCTCCCTGCCTCATTCCTCCTCTCTGTCTAGTCCTCACATTCAGGGTCAGATTCTAAACACGTTCAAACACGCTGAATCTTCATCATAGTCAGTTCTGTCCCTCACCCACCTCCAAATTGTGCACCATTGTTCTTTCCTCTCTCCCATCACGTATCTCCCCAACAGAAATAAGACAACGTGTTTCTCTGGCCATGAATTTGAATTATTAAGGAAGCTTCATGAGAGAGGATTTCTTCTCCTCATAACTATAGTCAAATCTAGGCGCACATGACCGCATTGTGGGTGTGTGGGGGTGGGGGACAGAAAAGGAAGGAGGAATCTATGAAAAAGATGCTGGGGGTGATGGCTCATACCTGTCATCCCAGCATTTTAGGAGGCAAAGATGAGAGGACTGCCTAAGTCCAGGGTTCAAGACCAGCCCGGGCAACTTGGCAAGATGTCATCTCTATCAAAAAAATTAGTTGGGAGTGGTGGCACATGCCTGTGGTTTCAGCTACTTGGAAGGCTGAGGCAGAAGGATCACCTGAGCCCGGCAGGTCGAGGCTGCGGTGGCTGTGAGTGAGCCTCAAAAAGGAAAAAGAGAACCCATCGCCAGTGGAATTCCTCATCAGAATGGGGTCCTGGGTCTGTGACAGGTGCTTTTCCAGAGAGCACCTACCTCTGATGGTTGGAGGCAGGTGAACAGGCATCACATTAAAACTTGGTTTGGGCTTTCTTTCAAGTTCAGTTAGTTGGAAAATTAAGACAAGAGATCAAATTTGGTCAGATCTCAACAGAAGTCAACTTGAGAGTCATCTCTGTCTCTGCTCACAGTGTTCTTGCGGGGAAACTTGGAAGTAAGGAGCTTTTGAACATGACCTTTACATTAGAGATTTCTATTAGTTGAAAGGTTTGAGTTCTAGACGTGCCTGCCTTCATTTACTTATCATGTGGGTGTCAGTTATTTACTTACGAGAACCTTCCGGACATTTTTCGCATAACCACAATGATGATCCCACCAATGAAGCCAATGGCTAGTAAGACCCCAACTATAATTCCAACCAGGGTCACTGTCGCCAAACCATCTGAATGAGAAGAGAAAAAAAGCATGAGCCCCGGAGAAAAAACACACCTGTAATAAAACATGCCATCTATAAACAAAGCCTTTGCCCTACTGTACATAGCAAATAAAGCTCTATGTTGTTTCTCCCTTATTCATTGGAAGCTTACTTACACGAGGAGAAACTTTGGGCTCTTCTAATACCATCTTATCAATGGAAAGATTTCTTGGTTTTAGGACGTATCAAACCTAACACTAATACTGGCTTCACTGTAAATTTTGATAGTGTTTGCCTATAGGTATTAAACTTGCCCCTATTTTCACTCTTAGTAGACGTGCCTGCCCTTGTAGACTGCAATCAAAGAAGTTATGAAATTCATCTCAAAGATTTGGTTCAAAGAAAAACTTTAACGCCAGTAGGAATATTTTAATACCAAAATCTAGCCTACCTTTCTCAATTGTTGTTTGTGTCTCTCCACCCACTTTCTCTGTAAAGAGAGAGAGAGATGTAATGATATGGAATGATTAGGATTTAATAGTTGTAATTTAACAACTGGCAAAAGATGAATTTACTGTAAGTGGAAAGTAGCAAAACATAAGCAAAGAGGACAATTTCTTAAATAAATTGGATCAGGGGATTTTTAAAGCAAGTTCTGACCTGATATTGTCTCTGTAACAGTTACTATTAAATTTATGTACACTTTACACCTACTATGGGTTCATAGTATATTTGTGTGCAATATTCTTTTCTCAACCAATTTAGAAAGCAGAGTCAAGGAAACTGAGTCATAGAGATCTTAAATAATCAGTCAAAACTTTCAGAGGTTAAGGTAGCAAAAGAATTCAGAGCTGTGGAGTCTTAGTCAAATGCCAAGATCACAGAAAACTTGCAGACTGGGATGAGGTCTATTGCTCATTGAGACTAATACTCTAATTTATTCTCTAGTTTATAGGAAAATATGACTAAGACTGTGATTTGTCTTGTGATATATATTCCCTGCTTCTTATTTTGTAGCAAAATCCAGATTTTTCAAGGCAGCAATATGCCCAGCTAAGTTTTATAAGCAAATACATCCTTTGTGCTTTTGTCACTGTTATTTTAGAGTTCTATTGGCAGTCAAACCTAGTCCAATAGTTATGCTGTGAATATTCTACACTGTGAGTTTCTTCCAGATAGTTTCTTCCAGGAGTCCTTAACTCCTCTGGGTGGTAGCTGTTTACCTAGTTTGCAGATGGAGAAAAAGTCAAGATGCCTTGATTTCATGGGAAACTGAAAAAGAGTGAATCAGTCCCTTCCCTAGAATCTTGGTTCACAACCTATAAAATATCTTCAATATCAGATAGCTTTCCTAACTGAAGGTAAAACTAGCCAACCATCATCTAAAAGATGCCTACTATACTTTATGGTTGGGGGGTTTGAAATAAAACATACCCTTTGTACTATGACTGTCTTCAAAATAAGATACCTCTTCAGGATGGCCCCAGGGTATGAGGGCCACAAGCCAGCACTCCCTGCATGGGGTGAGCCCATGGCTCTGGAGAATTTATTCAGAGCAACTCAAGCTGACTATACTACCCCACCATAGAAAATGGTTGGGATTGTCAGGTTTGAGCCTTCCTAGAACTAAAGTGTCATTGATTCAGCTCCCCAAATGACATCCATGGAAGACAACTACTAGCAGAGACAAGTCAATCATTTGTTTATCACCTCCTAACATAGTGACTAAGGACTCCAGGCTCATAACACACTGTTATTGCCAAAGACAACATAGGTTAAAAAATATATTACCAAGAATAAAGTTCCTGGAAGATTTGTTACTAAAAAAATAGAGCTTATTAGTCCTATATTCCCCTGCTCCTCCCAAATTACACTGACTGTGAACATGAGCATGCATCATACTTGCAGCCATCATCATACTTGGGCGTTTCATGAGAAAGTTGGACATCGGATGTCCTCACAAAATTATGTCTTAAAAACCAAGTGCTTGTAATGACATTTCAACTCACATATGAAAACATCTTGGCATAATGATATATAAAGTGAGAATGTGCCCTAAATCATAATTTTTGTGACAGGATGAGGCAGGGGACAGAAGAGACAGTTATTTCTCAAGCAACTGAGGATTTCTTTTATAAGGAATAGAAGAGCTGTGTCCCAGTATGATAGAATACTCAATGTGGAAGACTCCATTTTCTGCTGCTAGTTTGCTAATTAGTTGTCAATCCATATTACAAATAAACAATTCTTCTAAAAAACTTGGAAATGCTTTCCACTGATCATTTATATTGGTTAACTCTATTTGGTTTGCTCACCGTTAGGTTTTTTTTTTAACTATGGTAAAATATATATAGCATAAAATTTACTAAATTAACCATTTTTAAGTGTACATTTCACTGTTATTAATTACATTCATATTGCTGTATAACCATCACCACCATCCACCTCCAGAACTTTTTTCATCTTGCAAAGCTGAATTCTATACCTGTTAAATACCAACTCCTCATTCTTTGTTTCTCCTAGTCCCTGGCAACCACCACTCTACTTTGTAATGTCCCCATGAATTTGGCTACTCTAAGTACCTCATATGAATGGAATCATACAGTATATGCCTTTTTGTGATTAGCTTATTTCACATAGCATAATATCCTTCTTTTTTTTTTTTTCTGAGTCAGAGTCTCGCTCTGTTGCCCAGGTTGCAGTGCAGTGGCACACTCACGGCCACCACCAATCCTCGATCTCCTGGGCTCAAGCAATCCTGCTACCTCAACCTTCCAAGTAGCTAGAACTTAAAGGTGCGTGCCACCATGCCCAGCTAATTTTTAAATTTATTGTAGAGACGAGACCTCACCAAGTTGCCCAGGGTGGTCTCAAACCCCTGGACTCAGGCAATCCTCTTGCCTCTGCCTCCCAAAGTGCTAGGATTACAGGCATGAGCCACCATACTCGGTCCTCATAATACCCTTCATTTTTAATGTTCACTAATAATGTATCATGTGTCTGCAATTCCTTCCTTTTTAAGGCTGAATAATATTCCATGGAATGGATATATCAAATTTTGCTTATCCATCCATCTTTTTATCCATCCATCTATCCATGGTTACTTCCGTATTTTAGCTATTGTGAATAATGCTGCTATGAACATGAGGGTACAAATATAAAACATTTTGGGGGGAGGGGTGGATGCAGTGACTCACACCTGTAACCTGAGCACTTTGAGAGGCCAAGGTGGGAGGACTGTTTGAACCTAGGAGTTTATGTTCAGCCTGGGCAATATAGCAAGACCTCATCTCTACAAAAAAATTTTTTTAAATTTGCTGGGCATGGTGGCACGCATCTGTAGTCCTAGGTACTTGTGAGGATGAGGTAGAAGGATCACCTGAGCCTAGGAAATCGAGGCTGTGGTGAGCTGTGATCTTGCCACTGTACCCCAGCCTGGGCAACAGAATGATACCCTTACTCAAAAAAAAAAAAAAAAAAAAAAAAAAAAAAAATCAAATTCTGAACCTCTCACATAAAGCTTGGTTGGGAATTCACTCTTGGATTCCAATATGTCCCCTATTGATTATTATATTTGTTCATGGACTTTTGGAATGTACTGTATGTTAAAGTAGATCTAAGCCCATTGGGCTGACTGGTTTTCTTACCCATGGAGTGACTAGTTGCTACGTCTGAAGCTGTGGTACTCTGACTTCCTTCCTGGGCATGGACTGTGCTTTCTGGGGTTGGCCGATCCTCAGGGGGAACATCTGTTACACTCTTGGTGCTTGTTGCCACCTATTGAAGAAGTAAACAAGGAAAAAAAAACAAAGTCTAATCTTTTAACATATATGCTCTGTCTTATAATAGAAAAAAGATGTAATGTGGCAAAAATGTATCAAATATACAATGGCATAAATTGAAAGTGTAAACAAGAAAACAAACAGAAACAGGGACTTGAGGAGATGTTTGTGAACACATGTTCATAGTAGAATTACTCACAGCAGCTAAAAGTAGCTGCTACCCAAGTGTCCATGGACAGAGGAATGGACAAACAAAATATGGCATATACATGCAATAGAATATGACTCAGTTTCAAAAATTCAAAACATGCTGATACCTACTACAGTATGGATGGACCCTGAGGACATCATGGTAAGTGACATAAGCCAGTCACAAAAGGCAAACACTGTCTAATTCCACTTATGTGAGGTATTTGAATAGTCAAATTCAAAGACAGAAAGTAGAATTTGCCAGTGGAATTGTATTTGTGATGAGTTATTATTTAATGGATGGAGTTTTGTGAGTCAGAGTCTCACTCTGTCACCTAGGCTGAAGTGCAGTGGCACGATCGTGGCCACCACAGCCTCAGTCTACTCGGAAGGCTAAGGCGGAAGGATCGCCAGAGCGCAGCAGATCAATGCTGGGGTGGCCATGAGTGTGCCAATGCACTTCAGCCTAGGTGATGGAGTGAGACTCCAACTCAAAAAAAAAAAAAAAAAAAAAAAGAATAGGAGAGCAGACAGACAGTTATCAACTGAGTAGGCATCACTGTATTCCAATAAAACTTTATGCACAAAAACAATCAGTGGGCCAAATCCTGGTGGGCACTTTGCTGACCTCAGGGCTAGAGGGTAACTCCTGGTAAATGAGGTGGGGGAAGGGTGATGGTGAGTACTTTGGGGGTACTTTGAGATGATATTGACCTTGAGAATGAGAAAAAGTCAACTGTAGGAAAATCTAGGTAGAGAAAAATCTAGGTATATTCTAGGTAGAGAAAACAAAAGCTTAAGTTGGAACAAGCTTGGTGTGTTCAAAGATTAGAAAGGCCGACATGGCTGAAATACAGAAAGTGATGGAGACGGTGACACGTCTTTGTTCTGATGCCAACGAAATTATGGGATCCTCAAGGGCTGAGGGTGTGGCTTGCTGACCTCAATCCCTCCCAGCGACTGACATCTTGTCTTGCCTATGGCAGACATGAAAGACATTAATAAGTTAATTAAAATTAAGTTAGGAATGTGTCAGTTGAGAGCCTTCACAGTCTATACCCGTGTGATCTGTGGACCAGTTTTAGTCCATATTTGTTACCCATCTATGATGAGATTTTATTGAGAATACATATTTAGAAACTTTATAGTAATGACATTACCACAACATTCAAGAAGACCTACTATATTGAAAATTGAGAAGCCCTACTCTCAAATCACCTGTAATCAGCACATCAGCTACCAGTTCCCTAGTGCAGTTAAGTTCTCACTTCATGCTGTCGACACGTTCTTGGAAATAGCGACTGTAAGTGAAACAACTTATAATGAAATCAATTGTTTTTCTCATTGGCATTATAACGACCTGCTGTATGTCATTTTGCTTACAGGTGCAGTTTCCAAGAATCTATTGACAACTTTGAGGACTTACTGTAGTTTTTGTTGTGAGCTACATACATAACTATTTCTTGGTATGGTGGCTCATGCCGATTTCACATATAGATATATACTTTATATATATTTAAAGTATGTTCAAGCCAGGCATGGTGGCTCACACCTATAATCCCAGCACTTTGGGAGGTGAAGGTGAGAGTATTGCCTGAGTCCAGGGGGTTGAAACCAGCCTGGTCAACTTGGCAGGCAGGACCTCGTCTCTACAATAAAAAATATATATATATATTAGCTGGGCATGGTGGCACACGCGTATGGTCCTAGTTACTTAGAAGGCTGAGGTGGATCACCTAAGCCTAGCAGATCGAGGCTGCAGTGACCATGAGTGTGTCACGGCACTCCAGCTTGGGCAACAGTGTGATTCCAACACAAAAAAGAAGAAAAAAAAAGTTTGTATATACCATATCCCTGCATGTGATCATATGCCTATGGGGCAAATTCCTCCCTTCCCAGGACAATCACCAGAGTTGTCATGCCAGGAGAATTGTAGAACTCTTCATGGGCTCCTGGGGTCACCAAATCATCTTCTGCACCTTGGGGCAAGGTGCTCTCTTGCCCACCTGGAGTCACAAGGTCATCTTCTGGCCCCAAGGTGTTAGCTGAAGAAGAAAGACTGAATTAAGGCTTAAGGCAGAAATTGGATGAGCAGAACTAACTAGCCAGCTACAATCAGATTATTTTTTTCCTTACATTTCTTTTCGAGAATTTTATTTTATTTTGGTCATTATTCTGGCTTACCCACAGTGCCAGGAACCAAACCGCACTCCTGGCAGCATCCCAGCATATACAATAGCCTGTTTTTCTTTGATGCAAAGCGAAGAAGATAGAAACACAAAAAGGTAGTAGAATCAGTCTCATTTGGGGTCCCACTAGGCAACCTGAACAGGGGGATGCACATTTTTCCTTTTCAATAAGAAACCAGAATCTTCCTGGTGCCATTTCACACGCTGAATTAGAGCATTTGGATTAACAGAATATCATCTAGACCTTATACATTTTTTTTTTTTTTTTTTAGAATTTAGAATTCTGGAAAGATTTCTAAATATACCCATTTCCAGGCTCCATGCAAACCTACTGTGTCACAATGGCCAAAATTGGGATCTCTGTCTTTTGAAAATCAACTTCTCTCTCCACTTAATTTTGAGTTTGCTGTCCACTTGGATGATTGCAACTGTAGGTTTTGACCACAGACCTCATAGATTACATAGAATTCAACTTTTTTTTTTTTTTGAGTAGGAGTCTCACTCTTTCACCCAGGCTGAAGTACAGTGGCACACTCATAGCCACCGTAGCCTCGACCTACTGGGCTCAGGCAATCCTTCCATGTCAGACTTCCAAGTAGCTGGAACTACAGGCATGTGCCACCACACCTGGCACCTATTTTTGGATTTATTGTAGAGACAAGGTCTTGCCAAGTTGCCCAAGCTGGTCTTAAACCTGTGGGCTCTAGCAATCCTCTCACCTCGGCCTCTCAAAGTACTGGGATTACAGGTGTGAGCCATTGCACCTGGCTAGAATTCAACTTCTTATTTTATACTTGGGGTTACTATCTATAGGGAAGGGTAAGTAATATATTTAGGGATACCCTCCATTCTTAGTATACTGCGAGCTCAACTAACGAAACCCCACTCTCACTGGTCCTGGCTTTTCTGCATTCATATTTGAACAAATGACCAGCCATGCCAATGAGAAATGATTCAATGAGAAACAGAATAGGGGACGTGTGGAGTGGACTAGTAGGCTGAATTCCACTTTGGGGAAAATGCGGATGACAGCGTCCTCTTCTTCAACCTCTGTTGCAATGATCCAGTCATGACTGTGCCAAGCATCATCTCTAAACTCAACAAATAACCCTTTTCATGGGTTAAAAATCTGACTCATTGGCCATGGGCTTCCTCCTCAGACTTGAGTAGCTCTGGAAATTCCATGACTAAATACAGTTGCGACATAAGCAAGAGTACACATCCCAGGAGCAAGGGGATGCTTGGAGGCTTCTTTGTGTAATTAAAGAGCAGATGTTTATTTATATCTAGGCAGCCCTCACATTCTCAATCCAATCCTTGCCTGAAGATACCTTATTTTCCCCTCTGCTTAGCCGGCTCAGCCCGAGGCACAGCTATAAATATTTAATCCTAACTTCTTTGCTGATGCCCAGAGGGAGGAAGCCTCCCAAGTGAATTTGCTTGTTCTATGAGCCTGCTCTTTGATTCTAGAGCCGTAATCTAGTTGGGATGGCTTTTGATGAGCTACCTGGAAGCATATGCATTTATTTTTTATGGGGGTGGGGGGGCGGGGGGGGGGTTGAAAAGGCTTTTACCAGTTAGGAATAACTGAATACCTCAGTGCATGCAAATGCCTTGCCTCCCCTCAAGGCTTTTTGCTGGGGCAGGGGTGGGGATTAGTGATTGGATCCCATAAGAATTTATGGCTGTGCTATAGGCAAATGTTTAACATATCTATGGAACTGAAGGGGAAATATCTCTTTGCCAGGCTCACAGTCCTTAATAGAAAACCAAGCATCCCACTTTCTTTGCTCCCTCCTCTGGTTTGAACTTAGTTAACAAATCATCAGTTTTTTAAATGTTTTCTGGAGTTGTTCAGCAAAATCACTTACTATAAGGCACATCTAATTTAAAACAAGACAACCTTTGATTTAAAAAAAAATAAATCAAGCACTGAAAGAAATTAGTTTGAATTCTTTCATAGAAAGCTCAGTTCATTGAAAGTGTAACTTGATAAAAATTCCTTCTTGTTCGTTTCCACTCATGGCCCACACAGCCAAGTACTAAAACCGCCCTGAATAGACAAAGGGTGTTTTATGAATGACAGTCAAGATTAAGATGCGTGTCTTTTGTCTCACTGCCCTGGCATTCTTTTTGCTCCATGGGAAAGTTGATCTTTAACAAGAGATCTTCAAACTGTCCCTCTTAGCATCTTGGCTGAAGGCTTCCCTGGGTGAAGAGTTCCTCTCAGAGGCCAGCTGTCCAGTTTCCAACCAGCATGTGATGTCCTTTTCCCTTTATTCATGAAATTCAAATCATGTATTGCTGCCTTCACCTTTCAATTCTTTTTGTCCCTCCTAAAACACGTGTACGTGCAGACACACATGAGCAAACATACATGCAAGGATGAACATATATGTGCACACACATACAGCAATTTATATAAACACAGAGTCATGAACTTGCAGTCACATAAACCAATACCCACAGCAGGGCATCTTGGGTCAGTTCTGGTGCAGAGCAGCCTCGACCTCCTGGGTTTAAGTGATCTTGCCACCTTAGCCTCCCAAGTAGTTGGGACTACAGATAATTTTTTTTTTTTTTGCTTGTTTGTTTGTAGAGGCATGATCTTGCTATGTTGCCCTGGGCTCAAGCAATCCTCTCTGGCCTCCCAAAGTGCTGGGATTACAAGTGTGAGCCACTGTACCTGGCCTTGTGGTTATTCTTAAAAAAGCCAGGTCATGGCTGGGCGCGGTGGCTCAAACCTGTAATCCTAGCACTTTGGGAGGCCGAGGTAACCAGACAGGGAAACATGGCGAGCCCTCATCTCTACAATAAATCAAAAAATTAGCTGGGCATGGTGGCACATGCCTATAGCTCCAGCTACTTGGAAGGCTGAGGCGGAAGATCACCTGAGCCCAGCAGATCAAGGTTGAGGTGGCTGTGAGCAGCATGTCACTGTACTCCAGCCTGGGAGACAGTGAGACTCCAATGCAAAAAGAAAAAAGAAAGCTAGGTCAAAGTTCGTACTACCTATAAGAAGATGATTTGATAGATCAATTTTCCCTTTAGTTTAATTTTAAGAATTGAAGCATGCTTATTCATATGAAATTACCAATTATAAATAATTTTTATCTTTGCATTAAAATCTAATATCTCCAAAAAATTATTCTAGATTGCACACACTATGGAATGGCATTTCTTTAAGCATATTTTAGAGTTTAGAAGCAGCATTAAATTAGGTTGTTATTGTAACTATTGTAATAGTCCCAAATTCTTGGTAAAAAAAATGTTTTGAATAAGTGTTTTCAATGTTTTGGCTTTATTTACATTTCTTTTGCTTTGTGGTGGTGAGCTTGTCCACCTGTCTCTTGGCCATTCAGATAGTCTTCTTTTGTGAATACTTTTCTCTTATGGCATTCTATCTTGTTAAGTGCTCTTTATGTCTTAAGAATATATTCTTTGAAGCCAGATGCAGTAGTTCATGCCTGTAATCCCAGTACTATGGGTGGCAGAGGCAAGAGGATTGCCTGGGTCCAAGTTCAAGACCAGCCTGGGCAACTTGGTGAGACCTCATCTCTACAATAAATTTAAAAATTAGCCAAGTATGGTGGCACATGCCTATAGTTCCAGCTACTTGGCAGGCTGAAGCAGAAGGATTGCCTGAGCTCAGCAGGTCAAGGCTGCGATGGCAGTAAGCATGCCATTACACTCTAACCTGGGTGACAGACTAGACACTGCAGATATCTTTTTTTACTAGTTGGCATGTGCATCTGTCTTTTGCAAATGGCAAGCTGTCAGTAATCAAAACTTCTTAAGCTTATTTCCTCCCTTTGACCTCACACTCACAAACCCTTCCTCAAGATCACAGAAATATTCACTCAGCTATTCCTTACGGTTTTGCTCTTACATGTAATATTTGTTTGTCTTACATTTATTTTGAAGTATTATGTACATAGGAACACAATTTGATCCCCTCCAAAAGAGGAGATCGTCCCAATAATTCCTCTTTTCTCCACTGCTTCTAAATGAGCTCTCATTGAGACAAATCTCTTCTTTCAAATACTGTGTCATATTTACAAGAGACTTTCAGCATAAGAACAGCCTAAATGGTCTGGACACTGCCGACTGACCCTCTCTCATGGGCCCTCTGTCTGCAGACTATTCAGAACCTATCTCTAATTTTGCGCCCTCTTCGCCCTAAATCCTCTTTTCCTCCTTACATCAGTGACCACTGCTGAGTGACATCAGTGCCAAGGGTGTAGCTAGAATAAAATTGGGAGTATAGAGGGAGGAAGAATAAGAGTGGGCTACTAAAAGGTGCCGGGGGTCTTTCCAAGTTCTGGCTCTGAGGCAGGGTTGTAAGTTCTACTTAACATGGAAGACCTCATAGTAACATGGCCTCATAGCAACATCCTCTCTCACATTTGTTCAGCAATGCAGGATTTACATGTATCTTTCACCAGACTTTATTTCACAACAGCCCTGTAGGGGGATTGTGCGGCACTGCTGTCTGTCCCCACATAACAGACATGGAAACTGAGGTTGACAAAGGCTCTTCTTGACCAAATTTTTGTCAGGCTTCTCTTCTCAATTAGCCCTCAGTCTTGGGCTTGTGTTTCTGTTTCTGCAGAGTTTTAGCAAGAAACCTGCTAAGTGAATTTAGAGAGAATATCTTGATCTGTGACCCTTGATCTGTGATATATCCCCCACCTTTGATACTTAGACTGCCTTTAACAAGAATCTTGTTGGGCCAGTTGAGTAACAATGCCCCCCACCCTTGTAGTGTGCCTGTCTCCTCTTGCTAATTTTTTATCCACTGACCCCCCCATTCTGCTGTTGGCTACAAATCCCCACTTGTCCTTGTGTTCAGAGTT